AGGATCAGTGGCTCTGAGATACGTGGCCAACAGGAAGAGACGTGTCGCCAGAGGAGAGATGAAGAGGTGGCCTTGGGTCATGTGACCACCATCATCACAAAGTTAAGAAGGTATGGTAAGTATATATTCTTTACAACCCGCAGCGCTCTTGGGGGGACGCACAGATAGACAGAATATGGCGTTTCGTGATCGTCTGTAATTACGCACGTCATGGCAAAACAGTCCACCGCAAAACACTGCAGCCACCTGTTTCTTCGCTAATTAATTTACAAAAAAGCCCCCCGCCCCCCACCGGCGAAAGGTATCCCAAGCGCTCTCGCACTCTATCAAGATGAGAAAGAGATGTGCATGTATTACCTTGTCAATGGACAGACAAGTTTGGTCAGCTTGGAGCGTGAGTAACCCGGAGGCTGGACAATAATAAATAATCGGGTATCGGGTTCTGGGCGTGCTTCTCCTCTTTAAAGCCAAATTAACAAGACTTGCAGTGTTATAAAGATATGTTTAGTTGAATAGGCCCTCGAGTCCCCGGCTTATCTATTTTGCTTTCCTGTGATATCGTGCTCTCCCGGTTATCTGATAAGCTTTTCATATCGACAGCAGATATGTCAGACAGGCGATGCACTAACTGGACCTTTCACTGACACAGTCTCAATTGACCAGATTAGCTCAATGAAGCAACTTGACGACCCCCTCGTGGCCATTTTCTGCAGCCCAGGAAAGAGGAGTTCGACCCTCCGAGTCCTTAGACTCCACATCCACCCTTCCAGTGTCAAGAAGTAGCTGGATAACCCCCTCATGGCCATTCCGTGCGGCCCAGGAGAGAGGAGTTCGACTATACTCTGAGTCCTTAGACTCCATATCTATCCTTCCAGTATTAAGAAGTAGCTGGACAACCCCCTCATGGCCATTTTCTGCCGCCCAGGAGAGAGGAGTTTGACCATACTCTGAGTCCTTAGACTCCACATCTACCCTTCCAGTGTCAAGAAGTAGCTGGATAACCCTCTCATGGCCATTCCGTGCGGCCCAGGAGAGAGGAGTTCGACCATACTCTGAGTCCTTAGACTCCATATCTATCCTTCCAGTATCAAGAAGTAGCTGGACAACCCCCTCATGGCCATTTTCTGCCGCCCAGGAGAGAGGAGTTCGACCCTCCGAGTCCTTAGACTCCACATCCACCCTTCTAGTGTCAAGAAGTAACTGGACAATCCTCTCATGTCCATACCTTGCAGCCCAGGAGAGAGGAGTTTGACTATACTCTGAGTCCTTAGACTCTACATTTATCCTTCCAGTGTCAAGAAGTAGCTGGACAACCCTCTCATGTCCATACCTTGCAGCCCAGGAGAGAGGAGTTCGACTATACTCTGAGTCCTTAGACTCCATATCTATCCTTCCAGTATCAAGAAGTAGCTGGACAACCCCCTTATGGCCATTTTCTGCCGCCCAGGAGAGAGGAGTTTGACCATACTCTGAGTCCTTAGACTCCACATCTACCCTTCCAGTGTCAAGAAGTAGCTGGACAACCCCCTCATGGCCATTCTGTGCGGCCCAGGAGAGAGGAGTTTGACCATACTTTAAATTCTTAGACTTTATATCCACCCTTCTAGTGTCAAGAAGTAGCTGGACAATCCTTTCATGTCTATATCTTGCAGCCCAGGAGAGAGGAGTTCGACCATACTCTGAGTCCTTAGACTCTACATCTATCCTTCCAGTATCAAGAAGTAGCTGGATAATCCCCTCATGGCCATTTTCTGCCGCCCAGGAGAGAGGAGTTTGACCATACTCTGAGTCCTTAGACTCCACATCTACCCTTCTAGTGTCAAGAAGTAGCTGGATAACCCTCTCATGGCCATTCCGTGCGGCCCAGGAGAGAGGAGTTTGACCATACTCTGAGTCCTTAGACTCTACATCCACCCTTCCAGTGTCAAGAAGTAGTTGGACAACCCCCTTATGGCCATTCCGTGCAGCCCAGGAGAGAGGAGTTTGACCAAACTCTGAGTCCTTAGACTCCACATCCACCCTTCCAGTGTCAAGAAGTAGCTGGATAACCCTCTTATGTCCATTCTGTGCAGCCCAGGAGAGAGGAGTTCGACCATACTTTGAGTCCTTAGACTCCACATCTACCCTTCCAGTGTCAAGAAGTAGCTGGATAACCCCCTCATGGCCATTCCGTGCGGCCCAGGAGAGAGGAGTTTGACCATACTCTGAGTCCTTAGACTCCACATCTA